GTATCGGTAAGTACCCAAACTGAAGTACTCGTACTTGTACTCAGTCTTGAAAAAACTGGTATCGGGACACCCCTAGTCAAAACACTATCAAACATGACTCAGCTGCTTTTATTTTACAACTTTTTAACTTGTAACTTACATCCTTTCTTCTTCTTTTTCTTCTTCTTTTTCTTTCCTGCAGCATTTTCACCATCCTCTCCATCTGTGTGAGTGAAGATGCTGCTGTTACACCAAATGTGTAAACATGAAACAAACGAGCAGTGTCAAAGGAAACCGTTACATTTGAGCCTTAAACGTCAGATATTTACCTTCCTCACCGTCCTCYTCCTTCTCTTTGTCTTCAATCACCTGCTTCTCCAGCTGCTTGGTCACCTCCACCACTCCATCGGCCTCCGTCTCAACAGCTGCAGCAGGAAGCAGATGGGTAACAGTAAACGCATGCAAACCATGATCACCTTCGCGTAACAACTTTCAGTTTGAAAGGAATTTATTTAACTAAAACACACTAAATTAACACCATCTGAAACCAATACAACAAAAATTTAAAAAAAATGTAATGTTTTCTGCAGATTTTTATGTCCCATGTGGTTACAGGAGACTTCTCGCTACTTCCTGCAATAAAAGTGGAATTTTTGTTTAAAAACAAGGACCTTATATTGCTAAAGATGTAACAAAAGCCAAACATGCACCAGGTTAAAGGTGTGCTAATCTGTCAATCTTTGAACACCACATGACGCCCGTTCCACATAAAATAACAAAAACAAAACAGCAAACACATCAGCAACAATGTGTTTGATGGGAAAAACACAAGAGGGCAAAAGTGGCAGCTAAATTAACTAAAACTTAATAAACACACTTGTGCATCTGAGGTGTAGTTTGAAAGTAAAATTGAACAAATGTATTACCAAGGTTAAATTAGCAGTTTTTTAATCAATGTTTTTGTTTTTATTACATAAGTACTTCAAGGAGAAAGGGAATTACGAAACAGGGAAACTTGGCTGAGGCGCAGCAAAACACACTTGAACACTTCGGCCAAAAGGTGTGGCAAGATCATAGGAATGTTTCGTCAAYCCACAAAATCAGAGCTGAAAATATCTTAAAACATGTACGAATAAAGGTCACTGGTCCTGGGTGAGGTTCTGKCCTGATCCCGGTGTGTTTTCTGAGGCCTGACGGGTCCAAAAGCGAGCAGCACTTGGGTTTCAAGCCCGCATGGAAGAGCAGTGGGAAGTTATWACRTTTGAATGAACTAACTTCCGGCGAYACTTTCAAAATAAATTGCTGCACCAATTATATGAACCCTAAACAAATGACTAATGACAACTTAACCGTCGTGTCTATCGTTTAGTAAAAAAAAAAAATTAACCCAGGCTGTCGTATGTTTCAGATAATACTATTGGAAAAGGGGTATGAATCCATCGACGCCGTTAATTTGAAAGCCACATTCACGTATTTCCGATTTTGATTAAGCTAAATRCAGCTAYATTGACGCAGTTAGCCTGTTAGCAYGACTTCGGCCCAAACAACTTCACCTGTCGTCGCAGACTTTCCCTTCTTTTTCTTCTTCTTCTTCTTTTTCGCTGCCTCCTCAATTGGGTCGGCTTCTTCCCTGATTATGGCCTCCCCGTTTAGCTCACGGTCCTGGACTGGTTTCAGGTTCTGTTCCGCTACAACGTCCGTCATGATCGCAGGCGCTGCTGGAAAAGGAAGCGAGGAGGACTGCTGGACTGCTGATGATGATGCTACGTTCAAGGACACTATGTAATTTTAAAAACGTCATTTAGATCAAAACAYTTGTACACGAGTTGTATTTTACGACTGGGTTATTGACCTGAAAAGGATATTAAAGACAGCAATATGCTTGCAGCTGTATGGCATTTTCTTAAACCTATTACAGATATTTAATTGCATTTATGAATCAATAACATAAAAACTAAAGAATCCGAGCCCAACATGAGCTGCTGAACACCTCGCAGGCAAAACGTGCTGATTCAGCAGAGGGATGTAAATAAGCTTTATTAATGCTCTATTTTATTAATTATAAATAAATTTGTACATATTTTTTACATTTTAATTTTACTTTACTCAAAGTACAAAGACAATGTCAGGTTCAGTTTTATCCGGACTTCTGCAAATTAAAATTAAATTAAATTATTTGCACAGATATTAAAAGTACCTTAATCAAACTTTAATGTTTCATGACTGAAAATAAGTTTTTGCTACAGGTGCCAGTAGCAGTGACATAAACAAGCCACTAGGTGGCAAAGCCATCACAGACAAAACAAACCAGTAAAGGTTTTATTTTTTTAATTACATGTTTAGACTGTCTGGATCAAGTATTTTTATGTTTATAAGTTTAAGTTCCATCACCTACTTTAATGGGATAAATATTGTAGACAAGTGTGTTTAAATGAAATCAACCTTGTCTTGAACTTTTAATAACAGGCACTAAAGGTAAAAGACTAACTGTTGGTTACAAATTGAAACAAAGCATAAAAAATAAATAAATAAAAAAGYGTTTATCTTTTTCAGAGGTAAACTTTTTCATCTTCTATTTGCTCAGGAGGGGTTTTAAGGGGCGCAGCAGCTGTTGTGGATCAAACAAAAGTAAAAGTCGATGAAACCTATCAAATAACCAACCAAACCGGTTTCTTTGCCCCATTTTTTCAGACATAATGACAGATGCCAGTAAACACTTCCAGAGTGGTTCTTTTTTTCCAAGTGTGAAATGCAGAAAGGGCCAGGACAAGGCAAACATGGTGACGAGGTGAAAAACGGGGCAAACAGTGACTTTCTTTCTTTATATATTCAACACAAGCCCAAATCTTTTTTTATTATTATTTAGATTTTCAAACCTGAATGTTTTTAACTTCTAACTGAAGTTAATTACATTCACATCAAACTATTCACACCTGATAACCCTGTAAACACTGACACTGATAAAATGGAGGCTGTGTCACATTTTTTTCTTCTTTAGATACAATAATGTATTCCAAATATGTGACTGCAAACAGGGTTATGAATGTAGGTTCTGCTTTGTGTTCCAGAGACAAACAGAGAAAAAGTGGGGCGGACTAAAATAGAGCGATGATTGTAAAAAAAATAGCACTTGACTCCTCTTCCTGCGGCGCTCCTGCTCCTCTTTAATAAATCAGCTGAACTCTGTTCTCCAGACTTTATTCAGAACAATTTCACTGCAGAACGCTTTGTGTTTATTCAGACACAAATATGCAAACTGAAGAGCAACAAAAACTAAAGAGTTCTTGTTCTGGAGTTGTTTTCACTGCAAACTAATTTCCTCTGATAATTTCTGGATGACTTATCATTTTAAATTTTATTTTTTTAATTAATGAGCTTCTAGGTTGTGAAGGAATTTCAAATTGAAGCTCTAATTTTGTAAAATTATTACTGTAAAATTCTGCAGATCTTAAAACATGTTTACTGTAGATAAACAAAAAAAGGGTCCAGCAGTGAATGATGTCCCACCAGGAAACACTTTGCTCTACAGTAACTCAGCCTGTAGTGTTTTCTTTACTTRTTAATGTTCTAAAAAAGATGTCATGAAAATGAAAAACTGCACGTTTCTTTCACATTTAGAGAAAAACGGGTTATTTTAATAATCTGATGAGCATTCTGCTACTCGAGCCTCCCCAGTGTGAGGTCAGGTTTTGTGTTCGTGGTTCTGGTACCTGAGTTTAAACAGTAAGAATTGTATGTGACGGACAGAAAGACAATCACAGACAGGTGGATGGACAGACCCATCGAGACGAGACCAACTTAAATAAAGTCTCTGCTCGGTTAAAGAACCCGAGTTTATTGTTTAGTCCTGCTCTGAGGTCCCTCCGTCGCTCTCCTCCTCCTCCTCRTCTCCGAACGTCTGCTCCTCCATCTTGACGAGCGAGTGCGAGCGCGCGGCCACCTGAGCGGCGAGGGCGGAGCTGAAGCTGAGCGTCTCCGAGCCGTGGATCTCCGTCAGCCTGTCCATCACGGAGATGGCGGACACTTTGGGTTTCAGGAAGCAGTCCAGGCCGTTCTGGCCGTCCCCTTCGTCTTCCTCGTCCGTGAYGCCGTCGTACTGGTGCAGCTCCGAGGCTCCGCCCCCTCCTCTGCTGCACACCGASGCTCTGCCCGGCTCCCTCTCCTCCGAGCCGCAGCTGAACTCTGTCACGGGGTCTGCAGAGGGGTCAGGCCCCAYCTTGTCGTCCTTTCCTTCCCCCTCCTCCCCTCTGCTTCCTGCGGAGCGCTCTGATAGGTAGTTTCCTTCCTTATCGCCAGTTCCTGCAGGATCACGACTCTGAGCGAGAACTGAAGGCGACGCAGCAGCTACAAGAGAGGCAGAACATCAGAACTCCTTTTTTTTTATAACCGTAACAATATTGCTTTTCTTAGAATAACAGACTTTAAAGGTAACTGTAGAAACACAAGAGCTGAGTCTTTATGACACAATGAAGACATATCAGGTGTGGCTTCAGGAGGRTTAGAGAAAGATCTTATCAGAACACCAGTGCTTCCCAGAAAAACATTTTATATATATATAAATTGTATTAGTGAGTCTAAACAACTGAAATGTTGTGCATTTTCTGAATATGACAGAACGCATATGGACATTCATCATTCCTACTTTTTCTTTTAGATATTTTACAAAYCAAATGTTTTTAATAGTATAAAAATAACATACTACAACTAGATTTTGTAAATATATAGTCACTGGGTAATGAACGACAGCTGAAAAAGCTGAAACAGTATTTAAAAACTACAAAGCAAAACACCAGCTCAAAGTACCACAAACAGAGCTAAAAGCTAAAACAAAAAAAAAAATTAAATCTAGCCAGAAGCTAAAAGTAGCAAAATCCTACCTAAAAGAAGCAAAAGCTAGTTAAAAGAATAAAAAAAATACTTAGAAGCTGGTTAAAAAAATAAAAGTACCAAAAGGCTAGCTGAAAGCTAAACAAATAAAAACCTAGCTAGAAGCTTGTTAAAAAAACTAAAAGCAGCAAAAGCCTAGCTAAAAGAAACAAAAAGAAGATAAAAAAGCAAACTGTAGCAAAGACTGAGCAACAAGAAGCAAAAGCTAGCTAAAAGCTAAACTGAAATATCAAAGGCAAGATAAAAACCGGCTGAAAAATAAAAGCGGCAGAATGGAGCTAAAAGCTAAAAGTAGCATAAAGTAGCAAAAACAGAGCAGACTAGTGAAGCTGATTTGAAAGGAAATGTTTTTAAAAGAAATTAAATTGTCTGTATTTCTATGTGGGAAAAAAACTTTCTTCATTAAATTAAGGTAAATATTTCAAAAAGTGTAAAAGYTACTAAATAGAAAAGAGCACAAACACCTGAACTAGCTGAATGTTCTGATTTATAAACCRCTAAAATAAAACTAAAAGAAAGAAAATGAAGTATTGTTTGTTTTACACCATTTAYACAGATTTACTTAGTAATTATTTTTAATTTTTTTAGTAAAAAAATTGCAATATTTTGCCTAGTTTACAGTRTTGCAATGCCTGTGTCATGATATGTCTCATCTCACCAAATCTTTGCCAATAAACAGGCCTAACAGCAGTGTTACTAACTCTACCTGCACAGGTTAACTACAACACACAGCCTGATTTTCTGATCCGTTCTCCTGAGACTGAGCAGAAACTCATTCCAAGAATAACTCCAGAGCAGACCTTGGTCACTGAACAGCAGCTGCTTCCTCTTCATCCTCTCCCCCTCGGACGCACGGAAACCCAGGACGGCTTTCAGCTCAGACAGGACGCGACGAGACTCCTCCCTCTCCCTCCGCTGTCGCTCCCTCTCCTCTGGAGACAGCATGTCGGACCACGACTCCCTGCCTTCCCCGTCAGACTCAGAGTCTGACACGTAGGCCTCCAACTCCTGGTTAGATCAAACCGTGAAACTGTTTACTTTTGATGCCAACAAATATAAGCTAATATGTAGATATTAAAAGTSGGAGACGTCTGAACTTACCATCTCCTCTGGCACCGGGTCTCGGTCTAGGATCAGGGGGTAGGATGGAGGAGGTGCTTCAGGAACAGCTGGGCCACACTGCTCCACACYGTCACCTGCAGAGACGCAGCACAACGAGCTAACAGCTCCATCGTTCAGCGGAATCAAAATGAAGCACTACAGGTGTGTTTGCTTTGGCCCTGCTCACCTGGACAGTTGTTGGCCCTCCTCAGCATGCGCTCCACCTGGTTGACGGTGTCCTCCCAGCAACCGGCGCTGGCCTGCATGTGTGGGTGGAGCTGCTGCAGCCGCTCGTTCAAGTCCCGATACCCGTCCAGTGTCAGCTCTGCCAGGTCCTTGGACATCATCAGTTTCTCCAGATCATCCTCCAAGATGATCATCCTGCTCATAACAGAGGAAGAAGAATAGTTCAGCTGTTAGTTCAGCTGTTAGCAGCTTTGCTCGTTAGCTGATGTAGCAGAGAGTGTGTGAGTCTCACTCGCTGAGCAGGGCCTTGAGGTGCAGCTGCAGGCTTCGGATGGACGTGTGCAGGGTGTTGAGCTCTCGGCATTTCTCCCTCGCTCGTCCGGTCCGGTCGGAGCTGGAGGCCCTCGGCTGCATCTCGAAGTGTCGGTGGAAGTCGTAGCTGCGCTGCACCTCGCTGAGGCAGCTGGAAAGTGCACGGTGGAGAGGCTCGGTGACGGTGGAGATGGACTGGTGCAGYGGAGGAGGAGGTGAGGCTTCTCCTTTGGGTCTGCCTTCCTCCGACTCCTCAATCCTGTGCGGCGACAGGAGGAGAGCCAGCCGACGGAAGCATTCAGAGCTTTGTCCCAGCCACAGCTGGAACAGCATCTGTGAGACGACAGATTGGACAAGCCTGAAACAACAACTCTTCCTTACTCAATGCTACCATATTTACTGAATTTCAATCTCAATCTCAATTTGTTCGAGTTAAACCAAGCTGAACAAAACTAAAACTACAGACAAAAGTAACTCAAAGTAACAAAACAGACGATAAAAATAAAATAAGCAAACCTGTAGCTAAAATTAGTATTAAAGTTATGCTAATTTTGCTTGCTTTAGTGTAAAATCTAAAATTAGCACAACTGAATATAAAAGTTAAACAACGGTAAGCAAAAATGAGCAAAACAGAATTTAAAATGAGCAAAAGTATAGCTAAAATTTGCTTCAGTGTAGCTTAATTTATCCAGTGTTTTGCTTAATTTAGCTTAACAAATAAATTTTAGCACAAGTGTAGCTAAAAAGCAAAATGTTGCACAATGTTAGCWAAAAGCTACAATTATCAATACTATAGCTAAAAACGGCTTCACGATGTTGCTTAATTTACAGTGTTGTGCTAAATTTAGTTTAAAAGCTAAAATTTAGCTTAAAGCAAAATGTTGCACAATGTTAGCTTAAAGCTAAACTGAGAAATACTTGGTAAAAGCTAAAATGAGCAAAACTGTAGCTACAATTAGCTTTACAGTGTTGCTTACTATATACAGTGTTTTAATTTAGTTTAAAAGCTAAATTTAGTATAACTGTAGCTAAAAGCTAAAAGGAGCAAAACAGTAGCTAAAAGCTAAWCTCAGCACARGTGTAGCTAAAGTTAGCTTTACAGTTTTGCTTAAGTTATCTAGTGTTTTACTTATTTTAGGTTAGAAGCTAAATTTCTAATTTTAAATCAGTTTTGTTTTCTAYTGAAGTGGCTTTAAAAAAAGGTTAGAAGCTAAATTTAACATAAATGTTGTTAAAAGCTTAAAGTAACAGACTGGTAGCGAAAGGTGGCATAACAGTAACTAAAAGTAAAAACTAACATGAAAAAAAAGCAAACACAATAGAACAAAATATACAAAAGTACTATAGAAGAAACTTTAAAAAGTACTGCGTTAGTATTCATCCAAATGTCACTGACAAAAAAAATACTACATACTACACATTAATACCCMCATAGTATTTGTTTTTCTACACAATCCACCTCTTTGAGCCTCTTCTTCTAATGTTACAGCCTGCAGATCTAATCTGAACCCTAAAGGTCTAACCTTGAGGGCCGGCAGGCTGTAGTCATCAGTCAGCTCCTGTGCCTGCTCGTCACCCAGGTGCTCGACTCCCAGCCCGAGCCCCAGCTCCTTCAGAGGCACCGCACACACGTAGTTGGTCACATTATCGATCTCAGAGTTCAGAGGGAAAGTTAGAGGCAGTTAAAGATCCAAAACACACATTTAAAAGCAACACGTGCACCTAAAAACAACATGTGTGCTTTTTAGTCTGGTGTGTTTTCACTGTGAAAATTCAGTTAAAACTAAAYGCTTCAAAGGGTCAAAAGTCATGTATATAAAAACTTTTTTTTTCTGGGAAAGGATATGCCTTGAGCATGTGACAGGTGGCCCTGCGGGAGGCTCTGAAGGAGGTGCGGAGCGCCCGGTACAGGACCTTCCTCAGTCCRATCAGCTGCTGGCTGCGTGGCACCGCCCCCGGCCCCGCCCTGCTAAAGGAGCTGGCCGCACTCACCCTGTCGAGCAAACTTGACAAGTGAAATGTGATTCAACTGTGGAGACGTCCTGAAGAGGCGGGGGGGTCACACACAACACTGATAACCACAGACAGACACCACACGTGGGACGACATGATGAGACCAGACAGACAGATGTGACGACAACAAACAGCTGGATACAGCAGCTTCTTACGCAACAAACAGCAAAACTGAGCCTAAAACTCAGGGAAAATAGTGAGTTTATTTTTATATTACGGTGATTTATGCAACTAAATGATGAGAGAAGATAGATTTGAAGAACAAAAAGTGGACATTTTTGCGATGACATAAGAATGATCCACATCAGACCTCAGGGCTAAATAGCTGAATCAAAAACTGTCACTTTTTTCTTCACGACTTCATTATTTGACCAGTGGTTGTGTTGATTTCTAAACTTTAACATTAGTCACTGAAAAACCCTAATAATAGACTTCACTTATATCCTCCACAAAAACACGATTACATTACACTTTTCTCTTTGAAATCTACTTCAGCATACTTGCTCAATTTTTGTCTTCTTGTAGTTCTGATGCTACTTTTAGCTTCTATTTAGCCTATTTTTGTACTTAGARTTAGTATTTTGCTACATTTAGGTCTTAGCTAGCTGTTTCCTGCATATTGCTAGCCTTTAGCTTTGATTTTACCACTTTTCACTAACAGTTGCTAATACAACTTTTAGCCTACCCTYTGCTATATTTTGCTTTTAGATATTGTTTGCTCCTAGCTAGCCTTTTTCTACCATTAGCAAACAATGTACTAAATCATTACTTTAGGGTTTTACCTAGCATTTTTTAGCTTTTAGGTTTGACTTAATTTCAGTTTTTTTAGCATGTTTCAGCAATAATTCAGCACTCACACACAATCTTTTCACAGTATTTCTTACAAAGCTAAAGCTAAACAGTTTGTAACAGCTTCACATATATAATGAAATTATATAATAGTGCATTAAACCAATCACAGTAAAAGCCTCTAACTGCTGGGTGAASTGAGCACACTTACAGGGTGAAGCCTCTGGAGATGACCTCGGTCTCCTGCACCAGACGCAGAGCTTTACGAGTCAGTCCGGTCAGAGTCTTGCTGTTGCGGACCAGAGTCTGGAGCTGCATGGCCCTGGTGTGGACGTCCGTCTGCATACGACCCCGTTTCCACAGCGCCACCCCCCTCACCCCCACCCAGCCCAGAAGGACCAGGCCCCACGGAGCTGCAGCCACTGACCACAGGCTTTCAGTGGAGGAGCAGAGTCCCAGCAGCACTGCAGCCAGACCCACCAGCCCCGCAACATCCCTGAGCCAGGACCACAGGAGGACGTCAGGTTTTTAGTTTCATTTGAAATAAAAAGGTGTTGTTACTTAAAAGAATTAAACAAGGATCTATCTGCGTATCTTTGAGAAACGATGTACCATAAGGACGGCCTGGCCACGAGGCTCGGTCTGGGCAGGGTGCTCGCTCGGCTGGGGGAGCCAGAGGGCGAGGAGCCGAGGGTRAGCAGGCTGGGGTCTAACAGCTCGATCAGCTCCACATCCTCCTGCAGAAGCACGTCCTGGTCCAGRATGCATCTGACCGAGTACTGTCCAAAACCCCTGTCCTGTTCGCAAGGGAATAAAATGAAGAGAAGCCTTTTCAGACAAACCCTGACGTGACGGCGATAAGCCACCTACCAGCTGCTGTTCCAGCTTCCGACTTTCAGCTGCCTTATGAAGGGGGCTCCAKGTCCACAAGGCCTCAACCAGTCTCCAGAACCGAGACCCCTGGAAGTCACACAGATCAATCATTCCACTGAGAAAAAATAAATAAATTCAAATCGAAGAATTTTGCTAGTGCACAAATCACACTGTAATTATTTAGATAAGATTCTGCAAAAACAAGAGCGCACACTCATTCAAGCTTAAAAAAAAACAACAAAAAAGGAGTAACCCAGGGAGACAAAGTCTTTCAGGCATCAACAATGTGTGCAATGTGTAAACAACTCACCCCCAGATCTTATACACCACCCCCGCTGAGCCAAACCCACATCTCACTCTGCTGTGTTCCTGCTAAAGTTTTATAACTTCCTGAGCTCCCAAAACATTTTGATAAACCTTGCACACAAGCGACTTAGATGATAGAAACGCTGAAGCAATCCAAAGGTGTCGTGAGCTTCATGTCGACAGAGCAGGAAGAGAAAAGCSGGGGAAATGTAGGTTCATTCGACAATTAAAGGCCTTCCTTAAAGAAATAACTGCCGGAGTTTGAAACTGAGATCATTTGATGAAGCTGTAAACCATGTAAATGCTCGATGTCATGCAAAATTTAGAGTTTTCTAAATGTGCGCTGAGGACAAGTCTCAGGTACTACCACACCAAATTTTAGCTCGTTAGCTGTAAAAGTGGCTGAGTAGCTATTCTGTGTTGCTAAGGTCACTTTGCAGCAGCAAACAGATGAGTKTGATTCAAATGTTCACMGGTTCATGAGATACTTTGCTAACTCTACAGACAAACACAATGTAAGACCAGACTTGTTTAAATGTTGCCAGATTGAACTGCAGAATCCCAGAGAATGATTACAGCATAATGCCTAATTGTGAACAGGATTTATTTGACTCTAATCTGCTTACAGTGTTTCATGGCTTCTGTGAAAAGTTTGTTGTGAAATGAAGCTTGTTTTCATTTCCCTTTGGTTTAAAGCACAGCAGTTAGCCTCCAGGCTGCAGCKGTATTGATTATCAATATGTCGCTCATACAACTCTGATCAAAACAAAACAGGACACGCCTTGGTTYRGTCGTCTCCCTAATATCACAGGGCRATTAATCCCAGCGCAGAGATGAGGTCAAGCTTGTACAATCCTGTTAATACCCGGGATTAGTCTTATTGATGCTCATCAGTATTCTGCTGCAGTCTCAGAAACGCTGCAGCTTCCAGACTCTGGGCTGACTGCATTTTAGAGAAGTGACGTACACGCACCCTGCATTTCTGACARCAAACAGAATGCTGCTGGTGCTTCAGCTTGCTGCATTTGCTGCAAAACTAAGAGAAAGATCTGCACAACATACTAAAMGTAAACAATCATTGTCATGATTCCATGACAGCTGTGTCTTATACTGATGGTTAACTTTCAGGTTGTTTTATGTAGAAATAAAAATCCACAGTTCCCAGTTAGTCACAATCAATCAAGTCTCTGTAAATAGAAATGAGTAGATCTAGTGCACATGTGTCAAAMTCAAGGCCCGCAGGCCAAATGTGGCCAACAATGGCATTTTATGTGGCTYGCAAGAGCTTCAAAGATGCATTAATATCTTAAACTAAGCTTCTTTAAAGCCAGCATTAAGAATAAACTACATCTCCCATWATGCATGTCAATTATTTTACCCACAGTAGCCCAGCTGAACTGGTAAGTGGGGATTTCCCACTTACAARTTGTAAATTTAAACTGGATTGCCCCTCCAGTAGGAATTCCCTCTCAGAAARTGGAAGAATTCATAATTTGTGATGGCAGCTACTCACCGCAGCTCAACAGTGAGTAAAACTCTCTTAATTTTACATTTAATAGTATTTCAAATTTACTCAGTCGTACATGTAGTACTTTTCAGTGTTTATAAGAGGACGTGTGAAAAAGGCTGTTTCTATGTAGGAAATACCACRTAAAGCTCAGTTATTGTTTGTTATTGATGCTAAGATGTAGCAACGAGACRAGGAACATGAAGTTTAATTTAACTTTAGTCAAAGTTAAACATGAAACGTAAAAGTTAATTAAAACACGCCTTTGAGAGCCACCATATGCTCATGTGGCGCTCAGTGAAAATGAGTTTGATACCCCTAATGTAGGGTGCTGTRACTGACCTTACTATATTAATTGAACATTATTAAATTCAGTAAGTAATGACACAGGGTTACCTGTTAGTGGTTTTAATGTTATGGCTGATCACATTCGACAGATTGAAATGAGAGGAAAAACAGATGTTTCCCTTTAAACCACCTTGCAAGGATCAAATGGTTTGTGAAAGCAGCTGCAGATTAATTATTTACTGCCCTCCTGGTTAAACAAACCTCCAATACAGACTTATTTGCTTGAGCAGTTTATCATCAATAAAAACAACTAAAACAGGCAAATGCGGCTATATAATATAAATAGCAGTTATGCAACAAAGTAATTTGGTCCTGCGAGACACTAAAGTGAAGACTGTTTCACGTGGCTGTGTTTAACTGTCTTATTTTATTTAGAAAAGCTCATTTGAGCTTGTAAACATGTAGATCCTCCTAATATTACACCTGAAATAAGCCCTCTGATGCTGCAGCGAGGCGCAGTGAGGTGGAGTAACTGAGAGGGAGTGAAGCATTATTTATTCATTCACTAAAAGACTTGAACTTGTGTTCTTCTCAACTGTTGCACACACAAAAACAGAAATAGCTTCTAAAACAGTAACGTCAAACTTTACAGTATATATATATAC